TGGCAGGTTACTCACTGGGCTACGGATGCGGCAGAAGAAGCCCTAGCACTGTTGACAGTGGCCACAGCGACAGACCATGTGGGGGAACTTCAACAAGCTCAACCAGATGTGGGAGACGCACTCCCACGACTGCGCAACCTCCTGGATGAAGCAGCAACAGGAGTAGGGGTCCTAGTGGGGATTTACCCACATCGGGGAGAGGCGGAACAAGTTCACCCAGCAGATGCCATAGCCCAACAAGAGGACCGGCAACAAGTTCAACACCCTCGCCGAGACCCGCCAGATGCCCTACATATTTACAAAGCGCAACGCCATCTACGTCAACTCGTTCCCTTCCTCGACGGGGACATGCGGGAGATGGGGAACAAAGCGCTCACGCACCTGGGGGACTGGATCCGGTCCCATTGGGGGGAGTCGGTCCAACTCCTCAGTAGCGACGACGAAACAAGCCGACCAGAGCGAGAACGTCCCGCACAGCCAGCAGCCCACGAGGACGAGGGGAGCCCAAGCCTCGGGGGGGTCCCATACGCAAATGAGGGGGCAGCTGAGACACTCATGGACCTGACGAGTGGGGCAGCCAGTTCCACGACTCCTTTTACACGATCAGCCGCACCAAGACCTGAGGGGGAACAGCATGAAGCCCCCAGTGAGCCTAGGAGCCGCAGAAGTTCACCAGCCCAAGCTCGCTCGACAACGACGATTAATGTTCTGTCGTCTATGCAATGTCCTGATGTTTAACTTGTTTTTCTAGTGGGGGCATCCTGCTTACATGTCAGCGAGTGAGGGTGTAGGACCGCAGCTTATGGCATCTTGCTCCCAAAGTGGCCAGGTTCTCAGAGGGAAGTTGGTGTGTTTTGTGGATGTGCAGCAACGCCCGTAAGGGGGGAACGAGAAGCCATAGCTGGGAGTAGAAGTTCGCATAACCGCAGGGGGACCGTACCCCATGAACAAAGGCAGGGGGCCAACCAACTAAGGACTGTTGCTCTTGTAATAGTCGCTGTTTTCTTGTTTCTGTTCACGGTATGTATGCAGCCCTGCCGACTGAGTCAACAGACACGGAATATTCAGAAAACCCGTCAGTGTAGAGGCTTCGGGGGTGGGAAGGTAACAGGCAGTGCTGCTGCAAGGTTCTGTTCGGGATGAGGTCGGGAGGCAGGTAGGTTGGGTTACTCCGGTAGAGCCCATGTCCCTGGGGGAGCCAGAAAGTCGTGTGCTAGCTTGGCTTGATGCCTGTTGTGATTGCTTTGTTGCGTCGAACTGGCACACCCCACATCCCTCACAGAGTGGAGATCAGTGGAGGGACTAACGTAGGATGCAGCGTGGATGACCCAGGGGGAGCACACGTCGTGGGTTCTACTACTTGGTCAAGGTCTTAGGAGGGGTGTTTCGGGGGAGGGTAAAGTGTGCCCACCTGGAGGGAACACAGCTGCAGAACCCCAATACGGGGTAACCAAGACAGAACAGTCGCGCGCCGTTGAGGGGTTGGCCCTCGGGCCGGGGGTCGCTGACCCCAAACCCCCAGCAAGCAAGAGAGAGAGAGAGAGAAAGATACTTCGGGAGGTTGCTGATGGAACAGTGCAAGAGTGCAAGGAGGCGTAGACACACCAGTGCCGGACAGCTCCGTGAACAGTGTGATGAGATTTGTTGTAGAGTTGTGGTGGCATGTTGTAAGATATGTTGAGCGTCATGTTTGCTGTCTTTCTGGGGGATCACGGAGCGATAACGAGTTGTCGGACTTCGAAAACAAAAGTCTACGACACAGAGCTGGCACCCGCCTTAGCAGATGAGGCCTGGGGGATGGTAATTAGATAGTTAGATGGGGGGTTTCCAAAACTCGACCTCAGGCCTCAACGTGTAGGCGTAGAGAAGACCAACGACCAACAGGGCGCATTCGTGCGCGGGGGAGGGCGCTGCGTGCCCTTCTTCTGGCTGTGTTGAAGGAAGAAAGATACAGAGATAGAGATACACTCCCTGTTGTTCCCACACCGCGGCTGTGAGCACTCATGATTTCAATGCCTCCTCTCAGCAAGAAGAGGGGCCACAGCGGCGGGTCCGGCTGGCTCGAACTCATGCCACGCAGAAAGCAGGTGGGCAGGTAGATAGATAGGGAGACAGAGAGACGGAGAGACAGCATACGATAGACAAAAATAGATACTGCAAGCTAGATAGGTAGACGCCGACGCTTTGGTAGCTTGGTGCCCCGTTCAGGGTTGAGGCAACTGCTACCCACTTCCTGTGTTTTCTTTTGCTGCACCATAGGTCGATCGGGTACTGTTGCGAAGGACTTGAAAGACTCCTGTGATGCTGCCTGGGGCCGTGCACGAGAGCTTGCCTCCGAATTGGGAGAGGCACCGACTTCTGTAGAAGGAACCTCTCTTTGTAGTCTGGGTCTCCGAATCGTGGCCAGGCTCATGCTGCCATCGCAAGAAGGCGTGCTCAGGAGTTGGGCGCCGATCCGCTGAGCAAACGAAAGCGCGGTTGGGGTTCGAGTTCGAATCGCTGATTCAGGCAGCCTGGTGTGGTGGCAGTGCTGAAATCTGAGCTGCAGGTGCCGTGTCCGGCTTGACTTTGCTTCTCGAGACCAAGCTCCAAGTCGCAGGAGGCGGAAGCACAGGAAGCACACGGCATGGAAGAACTGGCCCAAGTGTCGGGTTCTGAGGGCTGTGAGTACTCCGAGCCGTTCACCTTGCTTCCGAAGCCCAGGCGTAGCGAATGTGCAGAAGACCTGGCCGAGCATGCCAAGCTCTGCCAAATGCTTGCAGCTCTGCAAAACGGGTCCGAGGCCGGACAACTGATGTGTCGCAGAATGCACCCGCTTGCACGCAATTGTCAGGTGACCCGAACTCTGCAACAAGCGAGTGAGCCAGAGGCACGTCATAGCTTGATAGACTGGAGCAGAAAGACCGGTTAGACTATCAGGTGCCGTTTGGTTCTGCTTGCGGTCAGCGACGTGCACAGTTTGCACTTGACACAAGGCAGTTAGTTCCGCACAGCTCCAAATAGCTTGCGAAGCCGCCAGACTGGCCGGGCATCACCTCACAGATACAAAGCGTCGCGATGTGACACGGCGAGCGCATGCCGCGACATGCGAAGCGTCACGAGCAAACCTATAGACGGGTGCAGGGGCACCACCGCGTGGCACCGCGAGCGCAGCCTCGCTGAAGAGCCCTGCAGGCAGCACAGCAGAGCTGGCTGCCGAGTTTCCTTCCAAGCTGGCTGACTGCCAGGGCCCCAACCAGGCAAGAAACTTCTCTCCCAGCTTGCGCCGACTCTCGTCCGCAGGGAGCAACTGCGCTTGAACAAGGCCTTGCAGTGTCGCCACAGCCTCAATGTTGAAAATAACGGACCTTGGCCAGGTGCCACTGTCACGGCTCCGTAGCCTGCGGCGACCGGCTGCTGTGTAAAATCAACGATGGGTTCAGGCTGCAAATGTGTGGGTTGCCCATGGCCTTCTCGTGCTGTAGGCTCCGGAGCCGAAGCATGGGCACGAGCACATTGACCCACCTGGTTGCCGGCCATGTTCGTGTCTACTCAGAGGCTCAAGGGCGTCATCACACATCGTCGAGGAGGCATGAAGATGCTGTGTAATGATCCGAGACTGTGTAGCATTGACCTGGGCATACCTGCGCCCCAGAAGTCTCCGTGCTTCTGCTGCAGAAGAGCACCTCATTCGGGGAGCATAAAACAAAGTCAAGCATTCGATGCAGCTGAAGGCACATGCATGCCTACGCGTGTCTAGTTAGAATCCAGTCGGATCGGATCGTGTGCTACAAGTAGAGAAGTCTCGTGGCACAAGTTTCAGCTGGCTGACACATTCTATGTCCGTAACTCCACGAATTCACCCGCAGCCTGCAGCTTAGTCGCAGAGGTCGATGCTCGTAAAGACAAGTTGTTTTGGATTCGCTTGGCTTTTGGGAAAGCCATGGACTTGGTCCAGTCAGGTGCGATGAGCTCTGAGCCTGCCGCGGCCACCACATCCAGAGGGTATACAAAGATAAAGGACATTGGATCAGGCGCGTCCTCACTGTTCTGCACTAGTCGCCTAGGACGTCTTGCAACTTCATTGCCACGTAAGGCAGCTATGGCAAAGCGGTTCTTGTACAGGACGAGATCTGATTCCCATGCCACACCTTCTCTCTTTGAAGTCTGGGTCACGCTACATGTGCCGAAGGATAAAGAAAGCAAGCTCTATGTGATGAAGATCATCGACATGAGCCGGATGGACCCCAAGCAGAGAAAGGACCCGACAATGCAGACCTCAGGCAACTAAGACGACTGCCACAAGTCGGTATCACAGCACTTCAAGCCTTCACCAAAAGAAGTGGTTAATGTTTTGCACCGGATGTAGCAAGTGTGTCAGTTGCACTTGAGCGCCCCAGCAAAATCGAAAACCTCCCAGCACAGGACGCCATCAACGAGGTGCGGGTGCTGTCGTCTTTGAAGCACCCATACATTGTGCCCGTGTCCCAGCCACGATGCATTGATCCAGATCTAGGGCGTCGGCTTGCCACCCTTCAGGTCCTACAGAGAAAGCTACATGTCCGAAGGCCGAAACTTGGCCATAGCCGCAACCTTGATTTCTGGATTTGCTAGAGCTGGCATTGCCATGGCCATGTTGCTGAGGTCATGGACTATGCAGACGGTGGGGACCTCCATCAACGAATCCAGCGCACACGGCAAGCCGGCAAGGTCTTCTCCGAGGAAAGGATTCTCAGGCGCCGACCTTGCGAAGTCCTTCGTGCAAGCGCTCGCCCCAGCCACACTGTGTTTTGCAGGTGGCTGACAGAAGCGGCGCTGGCGCTCAAGTACTTGCATGACATGCTGCTTCTGTTATGGCAACACTCAAGTCGAAGCAAGTTGTGCAAGCGCGGCTGCCGCAGGACAAGCATGTGCTGCACAGGGACTTGAAAAGCCAGAACCTCTTCTTGACGGCTCAGGCTGCTCCCCGTTGCGTTGCTCATCTTTGCTCTGAGCCTCAAGACCTGCCGCATCTGCTGCATTGCCAGGACCGCTTGCGAATAGGAGACTTTGGGATTTCCAGAGTATCCGACTGAGCAGCTTTCTTGAGCTGCGCGGCTCTTGCAAGGATGCGTTGCTCTGACTCTGCACCCAGCAAGGTGTTGGAAAGCACGTGTGCCTTCGCAAAGACAACGATTGGCACCCCATACTACCTGAGTCCAGAGATCTGCTGGTTGCTCAGACGTGAAAGAAAATGGCGCAGCACTGATGCCTGCAGTGTGGACAGGTCAGTTGAACCATCAGAGCCTGCCGTGAGGTCTGGAAAAACCTTACACCTTTAGCAGTGACATCTGGGTCAGATCCTTCGGCAAGAACTCCGCAATTCATTTTTGAGCCATGCTGAGTCTTTGATCAAGGCGTTGGGCTGCGTGCTGTATGAGCTCGCTTGTCTCAGGGTTCCCTTCGATGCGTGTGCCTCACATTGCCCGTGGCAATGCCACTTTTGGCCGCTCTGCCAGCCCGATTCAGGCAACGAGTCTGCAATCGCTCGTTCAAAAGATAACGTGGAAGCCTTGGTGCTCTTACTGAAGCATCCTGCTTCTCGTGCCGGTGACTTGCGCTTTGAATCCAGGCGAGGACCAACACCGGTTCTGCCGAATTCATACTCGCATGATTTGAGGCAGCTGTGCCGACTGCTTAGATGTTGCAGCTTTTGCAGGTTTGGTCTAGGGCAGAGAGGAGCCTGGAATAATCATTCAGAGCAGCAGCCGTACAGAATCAAGGATCCCTAGAGGCTGAATGACGCTGAGTGCTCGAAACCGTTACTACCAGCGCCCAGTTCACGGCTGGAGCCCAGAGCGGGCCGAGCAATTTTCAGAGCCAAGTGTTATGACTCAGGACCCTTGCTTCGGAAAGAGGCTGGCGTCCAATAGGGGCAAACTTGAAAGTGGAGGCAGCCGTTCCACGGCCGGTGTTCTCTTCTACACCCAATCTGTCGGATATGCACACTTGAAGATAGGAAAAGAGAACAGTCTCAGTTGAAGACACCCTCGGCCCGCATCACGTCATCGATGCAAGTTCAGAATCCGAAGTCAGGCCGATTTTCGACCCCACTCCGTGTTTGCATGTTCGCGGTTGCCCAGCCAATTTCACAAATTCTGCACTCAGGCTCCGTGTTCCCACATGGCATGAGGGAGTGACATTGTCCGAAAACAGCTTGTGCTCTGAAATTCGCGGTGACCTGTGTAGTGGCAGCCCTTGGCTTTCCACAGCAGAGCTTTCAATGAGTCCGACTTCTTGCCGGAATGTCATGCCTTCTGAAGTGGCTTCCCAACTGTAGGCATGAAAATCGCAGCACCAGATGGCAAGAGATCAGCTTGTCAAGTGCCCTGAGGCGGTGATCTGCTTCATCGTGAACAAACTCAGAGGCCGAGCGCCCAGGACGGCTGAATGGCGTGGGTAGCCTTGGCCGGGTTGGCCGCTTCTTTTCGCTATCTCTGGTTGTTGTCGGCTAAGCCCCTTACCCCAAACCCGAAGCCCGGGAACCCAACGAAAAAGATGCGGTTGACCCCAACAAAAGCCCCAAAACCCAACCCCTACGCCGTACGCCCTAAAGCCTCCAGAATCCGCAACGAGTGAATTCCCAGGTCGAGGGTCAGGGGGCTAAGAACGACTAGGGCGAGGCCAATGAGGATGACTGTCACCGAGTGATGTTGAAGGGCTTCCAAGCGCAACACTAAGTTACTGCGCACGGACCTGCCTCCAAAAAGGCTCTCTTGGATCGGCCAGAAAAGGTCCTTGAACAAAAACGACATGGCAGACGCAAAACAGACAGATGCTGTCAACCCGAAGAGAACAGACGCCGCAAAAGTCAAAAAAGAAAGGTGCGGTTGATGGTCTGGTCGCTCGGTGCCCCTGACCTGCTGTGGCCTATGCCAGGTATTTTCCCTGGGTTCGCGGTCACAAAACAACAACCACTTGCTCGGACAAGCATCAGTGCTCCAACTCAGTAGGTGCTGGAGACAGATTATCGTTTTTGGCATCCACGAGGAATCCGACTTAGTTTCTCATAATGCCGTCGTATTCAAAAGATCAGGGCCAGGCTTGACTGAGTAAGGCTCCAAAGCCCGCGTCATCTTGTGGTCGCTTGTGACTCCTATGACCCACGACAACCCAAGCTTGAACGACAAGACGAGCATGGTGATCGTTTCCAGAGTTGGGCTTAGAGTGCTTAGAGTTTAGGACCAGCCAGGAGATCCTGCAGCGGCCCTTGATCCAGTACGAGATTCGGAGAATGCTCCGCGAGGACGCAGAGCTGTCAGGCTGTCAGGTATTCGTCATTCGGAAGTGGCGACGTGTCGAGGAGCAGGCCAAAGGAACGCGTGCGCAGCCCGAGGCACTGATTGCTGGAGTGATCTTGCAGTCTAAACTCCTACAGTCGCCGAAGGCTGGCGGACCTGGTATGGAGGCGACTAATGGCGACTATGATAGCTTAATGTCTTGCCTGCATTGCAACTCCGACCATCCCACAGATGAAGAAATCGCCGAGCATTCAGAGCGAGGTGCGCTGCACTCGCCTGTATCAGCACGCCATCTGTTGCGAAACCTTTACTCCCTCAAAGTAGCATCAAGGCAAGGCGGGAGCATGCTGACAGCACTGACGAGGGAGGCACGCCGGGTCGCAGTGCAGGATCATAGCTGTGACCCCACGGCTTCAGCAAATCAGGCTTGTCGTCTCGACATTGGCAAAATCCCGTTTGGTCCTCGGTGCTGGGAGGCGGACTAGGTAGGATGCTCAGAGTTTCAGATGTGCTCTTGAACGAGGCACTGAAGGGTGTCGGTGCAAGCGTTTGCCAGCACCCTAGCCCTAGCACCTCTTGCGTGGAGACCGGCTCGTACGAACGTGATGCATGCTCTGAAGGTATGGAGGGCGCTCACATGCGAGATCCTTCTCCCTCCAGGCGCTTTGATTTGAGAGGTTTACTTCGGGATCCGACGGAGGATTGTAGCAGATTCCAGGCAGATGCCTGGCTTGCCTCGGCAGTGGGGCGATGTTTCCGTCGCCGGAGCGCATCGCACTTAGAAGCTTCGAGCGGCTTGCCTTGGGTTGTTGGGTGTAGAAAAAGGCCACGCCATGCCACGCCGGGACTCAAAGGACGACGGTGAGTGCGAGGCAAGAGCCTTCCCCGAGGAAAGCAGCTTCCCAAGAAGAGTGCTGCATGATGCAAATAGAGGTGCGCGAAGACGCCGTACAGATCCATGCTAGTATACTCAGTCTTGTTGGTCCGAGCTTAAATTGCCTTAAATGGCACCTGCGAAAAGTTGCAGTCCGCATGCATTTTGGCATCTCGCGTCGGCAGTCTCACCCTGTTGCAGGTAGCAGCTTTTTCAATGTGCCAAAAGCTTGCACATCCTACAGCT